GAACCTGGCAATATTCCCTTAACAATCAATCATGACAGATTCTTGTGAGCTGCATGAAATACTCCTTTCCTAGGAGTAGGCTGTGGGTAACACATCCTCCAAACCCAAACATAGCTCCTATTGTAGTTGAATAATCAATATATCCCACAGAATCTCTAATCTTCCAGGATGGATTATTCACAGGAATTGGCAGGATTTGACTGCTGTAGATTCTTTAAAACTGGCTGAATGTAAAACAATACATTAAAAATGTTCCTCAAATCATAAAGAGTTGGGTATTTTTTTAAATAATATTCATTAGCAAATGATTACTGGAATGTAAATAAAAGCAGCAAATCTCTCTTATACACACATACAAACACTCATACAGCCACTCCCTCTCTAAATTCTTCTCAATTTTGTACCTCTGAACTATTGCTAACACTATAAAAGAGAAAAAAAACACCCAAAGAAGAGAAACCACACTTCAACCATGGCTTATCTGGCTTATGTATATATAGGCAAATTTCTGTTCGTGCAGCACCAAATGGAGCTGTAAAATCTCAGCCCACACCCCCTCACAAAGTCGTACGTCAAGATGCAACAGAATGGGTGGCTTCAAGTTCTTTGGGTTTGACCTTCCCATCTAGAGAATATAGTAAATAACGACATAAAGCCAGGTATTTATCAAATGCAGCAGATTTTAAAAATGATCACTTACCTTTTCATATTGCTTTTTGTCTTGAACAGAACACATTAATATAGAGGAAAAGCATTTGCCTGAAGCAGCCTTAATATTATTTACAGATATTTTGTTGTGGCCACTATATTATTTCTCTTACTCTTTGCTCTTGAAGAAACTGTACTATAACAGCATAGGGGCTAGAGGACCATATTTGTGCCTGTCTTGATTTTTTCCGCAGCAGAAAGAAGAATTTATCTTGCCTGTTTCTTCAGTCACAGAAAATGAGATATCCAGCAATGTGTTACTTGGAATTATGCCTTAGTTCAATACATTAATTGACTAATACTTTAGTAGAAAGTTCTTGGTTGCATTACAGATTCAACCTTGTCTTAAGATACACACAGATACAATTCCCACGAAACGCAAGAGGAAGGATGCATGAGAGGGCTGAACAAACACACTTCCGCTGGAGCAGGGGAACTCCAGAGGTCCACCTAACATTTGGTTCGTACTAGGGAAATAGGGGGAAAATTTATTCAACTAGAAGAATTGCAGCAATGTAAATATTTTTGGAGAAAGTAGATTTGAAAAAGCTGGAATATTTCTTCATTTAGATCACAGGGTTAGTATTCAACATAATAATTTAATCTGTGGCCATAGAAATTCAAAACAGTTTACAATTTAATGTTACTTGACAAAAGAGTAGAAAAAGGAATGAAAAACATGGTGCAGCCTATGGCAGTCTTCTGGAAATGCAAAGGAAGAGTTCACCTAGACTTCTAGACTCAATTCCTGTCTAGTCTAGCTGGATCCTTCTCAGAGGCCCAAAGCAAAAGGAAAAGGGAAAATAGTCACAAGTTGCATCAAGCGATGTTCTAATCAGATACAAGGACAAAAAATTTACACAGTAAGCATGGTCAAGCACTGAAATAGAGGCCATGGAAAACACATACCAGGAGCCATCCAGAGCTCAACTGGTTAAGGTCCTGAGCAGCCTGGATCTCACTCTGAAGTCCTTTTTCTTGGAGCAGGAGGAAATGGTGACTTACAAGAGCCCTTTCCACCTGAACTAATTCTATGATTGTACCATCTACTCCTAGCAAAGTCTTTATTTACAAACAAACACACTGATAACACTTTGCTGAGGTCAACAGTAATTCTTCTTCTGGTTAACAGAGCACTGATAACTGGCCAGATCATCCTGCATTAAAATTCCCTCAGCATAAAATCCATTAACTGGAATCATTGTCCAATTTCTGCTTACCTGCTTGCTTTGTTAGCAAAGTCTGACAGCTGACAGAGTTCATTTACAATGGCAAAACACAGTTGTTACAGATTTTTTTTGTTTTGTTGTTTCACTCAGAAGCTCAAGTTCATTTAGTCACTAACCACAAGAAATAATGATTCACGGAATCACAGAATCACATCTTCAAACAGTCTCTGAGTACCTCAGACAAGCTCTTAATGAGACTTACTTTGCGCAAAGGCTTCCTGCACATCTCCTCCCACCCCAGTCAGAGAGTCCTGAGGTGCGTGGGTTGGGGTGGAGCAGGCAGAGGCAGACCTGACGGGCATTGGAATCGGCCGGCTGATAGTGTGGCTGGGTGAGGAACGTGGGGAGCCTGCCCCCTGGGTCTGCAAAACAATCACAAGGGGTTAAATAGGTCTCTGCAAGAACCCTTGACTGCTGTCCTTGTTACCCATCCCTCAGCTCAAAGGCTGTTTGTAGATCAGTTGGGTAACTTTAACTTTGCTAAAAGAAATCGACTGAAGTCAGTTGTTAGCGGACAGCAATGCTTCTGTGTAGAAAAATAGTGAGTAGGAAAACATGATTCAAGATCTGACTTCCTTTAAGCATGGGAAAATGTCAGGCAGTTAAATTAATGTATAAAAATAATCCAAGTTAACAAACACCAAAGTACAGACGTGCCCTCTGCCCTCTTCCCTCTCTCACTCCCCCAGTTCGCACGCATGTTTCGTAAAACATAACCCATTCAGGCTGCACGAGGGGGAAAGATGCTGGCACTGACACGGCTTTCAGCCTGGGCAAGGGACTGAAACAGCCCCTTTCATCACAGCCCTGCCCTCCGCTCCCTGCAGGAGAAATTCACGGTACATGCAACCTCTCAGTCACATAAAGTCTGACACTCGCAATAAATAATATAGTTTTCTGCTTTTTATTGGAGCTAGAGAACTATTTTAAGCCACTATTAAATCATACACTATTAAATTGTTCTCTCTGCAGGATATACTCAGGCACTCCCAAAACACTGTGGGGATAGGGCAATATAAATTCCTGCTATGGGTTCAGCTGCTGGAAGTGAAAATGTTTTAACACCAGTCATATAAAATGTCATGCTGTTAGCACCTCACAGTTAGTATCACTTAGCTGAAATTCAAGCAGACTTTACAGAACAGTCATTTTTTAACAAACACAGCTGGGTGAGTGATACCAAGAGACACAGTGCCCTTTTCATCCACCGTTTCAAAACACCTGGGAACGTGCATCCATGTAAGGAAAAATTAAAGCTGTAGCCCACACCAAACTGCACACAGCTTTGGACTGAAAACCTGCCTTCGGTGGATGCCAAGGATGGAGGTGGCTGCATTAAAGTGCTGTTAAAGGGCAACTGCAACACACTACTCTGGTTGTTTACAGCAAAAAATAACCTGAGGTTGGTGTTTCCCTCACCCTGGCTTTATTTTGAGAATTCAGGAGGACTTCTTGTCTCTCCCCACGGCATTTATTTCGACTCCTGTCACAGCTGCTACTGTAGCCCTGATAAAGTATGGTAAATACATTCTAAAAAAGACAACACAAGCCCATTGCAGGGGAAGTGCAGCATTGCCCTTGAGGTTTTTATAAATTCCTGCCCTGGACCATAAATAATGTACCAGAATACTAAGCTATTTGTTCTTTTCTCCTATCACCTCTTTCTAAGAGACATTATCACCAGAGAGACATGAAGGGAAAATTAGGTTTATGAGGAATAAGCACATTACTGATGGGAGAATGGAGGATTTAATATTTATAATTCCTTTAATGATTTGGTTTCATTCATCTAAATGATGAATGAAAGTGAAGTTGAATATATAGAGGCCAGATGCTCTCCTGTTTCTGGAACTGTCTGTATTCACAGCAACGGATCTCCAGTCCTCCAGGCAGGGCACAGAGAAGCCTGGAGATGCTGCAGGGTCCCTGGAGGTCACATCCCCTACACATGGAGCAGTGGATCTGGGATCGACAGCTACCTCCTTTCATGGCCCAACAGGGCATGTTTCATCCTCTGTGAAACAAATTTACAAAAAAAAATTCTGGTTCCCAGTTCCTTCCTTCACTTGCCCTTTCTCCTCGCCTTCCCTTTGCCTTCGGTCTTGGTGCTGGCAAACACCAACAACAGCAAGAACTTTCAGAGAAGATGACAAAAAAATGAGCAGAATTTGCTTCCTATAGTCAAGTCACATATAAGCAATGAACTTCAGAATAGGCATATTATTTACTAAAAATAACAGATGCCTGCCAGTACTTCTTCACTGGAATTTTCCCACAAGAGAAATGTAGGAGCTGCTGCACACCAGGGCTCACCCTTGTGTCTGCTCTGCAACTATGACTGAGATCTTGCGTTTAGGATCAACACTGGTCTCTTATCTGTAGCTTTCAGTGCTGGAGCAAACTGTTTGGGAAGCACAGGGAGATGAAGCATTTGGAGTCCGCTGTCCAGTAAAAAACTCCTCTCTTTCTATACTGTTTGGGCACTATCAGACAGAACTGATGAACAGCAAGTTGAAACAGGAATATACTAGGGAATGCCTGATATCAGAGAGGGGTACAGTGAAATTATATTTTACTAATCTAGATCCACCTCAGCCCAAGCTAGTGGAAATGGATTACTATTAGGACTGGCTTTGTCCTTAGTGGTTATCAGGAGAAAATGTGGGTTTTGCAGGCTTGAGATAACAGCCTGAAACCTGCTATGATAAAAAGTAGTGACTTCTTGGTAATCTCATCAGAGAAATCGAGCACTGAATTGCTTCCAAACCTGGGTAGCCCCAGCAGTTGAGGACTAAGCTATGCTGAAAGGGGAGCACACACAGCCACCATAGAAATGTGGATGGCTTCACCTTTTATGTTGTACTTAGTTGCAGCTATTAATGTTCTTGTGCCTTCTAGGAAAACTTCCATGTATCTTACTTAATTCATCATCCCCAGCCAACCTTCTATGTATTTCAAGTTAACCCTTCCTAGACAGGGGAAGATTCCCTGCTGTCACCTGTCATGTAAGCTTCAGATAAAATACTTGAAATGTAAACTGGCTTTACGGGAGCTTGAGCCCATCGCTCCCTCTGCCGGCACTGAACTGGGATGACATATGGGGAAAGTCTCTCACAGCCTCATGAAACAACACGGATGCGAAGAACTCATTATCCTTTTTCAAGGAAGGGCAGGAGAGAAATAGGAAGTTCATAGGCACTAGACGAATTACCAGGCTGCTCACACTCCAGTCGAATTGCTCCAGAAATTAATTTAACTCTGTTTCTCTCGACAGATCATGAAATGGGAGCTTAATGGGGATCATTTAATGGAAATTGTGAGAATAATTCCATAGCGTCATGACCTGGTATTCAGCAAGACTATTACTCTAGGAAGAAAAAAAAAATCGTATCTCTTAGCAGCCTGAAAACATGCTTTTGTTTATACTGTCCAGTGAACATTTTACATGATAAGGAAACTCTTGTCATGTTTGAAACTTCTTCGTGAATGGAAGATTTTTTAATACTACAGAATCAAAACCCACAACCTCTACATGGAGGTGCTGTTTGGTCAGATTATTTTTTTTGTGTGCACCAGATCAATGATCTACAAAAAACTGGCCAAAATGTTAGTTTTACAAAGGTAAGCATTAACTACATACTCTGACTGCTCTACCGTGGACAGAACACATCAGACTTGGGACTACACTTCTGCTGATGAAAGTAAGAGGAAGTGTGTTTTGTTAAAATGAAATACTTTTACTGGACTCATAAATCAGAGTGATGTCTGAAAGTGCATTTTTTTAGTCTGATATCTTTCCAACATCCATTTCAATACTAAAAAGCTCCAAAATGATTACATCTTCTAAAATTCACCATTGGTAAAAGTAAACTTCCCCTTTTTGATCTAGCTTGCAGAAGTCATTTAGATATTACATTATTTTCCTGAAGACTCATGCATCAGTGCTGACTTTTAAAGAAGTGCACACAATGCCCCGACTTTTTCTGGATAAAGTGGTATTTCAAACTCATTCTCCTAGTCTAATTTAAACTTGGGAATGTTTTTCTTAAAGTTCCAAAATTCTCATTACATTTCCAGAATGTTATCAATGGTAGAAGTGCTCTTTAATTCATATTCTAGGTTGGTTTCACTATTTTGGGGTGGCAGTTTCCATATATTATGTGTTCCTATTTCGGGCAGTAAGGAGAAGATCAAAACTCCTTACAAGGAGTCATCACTCAGTTTCTAGAGGGCTAAGATGTTTAATTGTGAAAACTGCTCCAAGATACTTGAAAATAATGTGTGAAAGCAGAGCACAATATTAATTTTGGTCAAAAGAACACACACACATTTCAAGCAAAGGAAGCAAAACAAATCACAGGAACACAATCACATTTAGGAGTTAGTGAGGCCTCCCATAAGGGGGTAACTTACTACCTGTTTTAATTCTTCTTCCTAAAGAAAAAGAGGATCAGCAGATGAGATAAACCAGGATGTAAGTGAAAAACAGAAAACAAATCCAAATTTGGAGTACAAGGTTAAAGGTAGAGTCCAGATAGCTGAAAGTATGTGACCAGATTATGGTCCCACCTCTGCACACTTCGAAACACAGGAACAGTGCAAAGTGAGCAGAAAGAGACTATTGTTTCCTACCCCAAATTCTCTTTGCCCAGGCAGGGCAACAACGGCAGGCGGCCCCAACTGCTACTTGTATCACTGCGGAAGCAGAGCAAGAAGTATCCTTTCTACTTCGAGCTGCCAAAAATCTGTTGGCTACTCAGTGGCCTCTGCTGCTCAGGTGTCACCAACTTCTGCAGTGATGCCACTGAACCCTGTGCCTGAGGAGATGCAAATGACCTAAGAGGTCAAAGTCATCCTTTGATGCAAATACATGTTGCTAAATGGATTTCAGTGAAATTCTTTGTTTTTACCAGAGCCATATCTGACCTGGGTTGCACTGATTTCCAATGCAATCATTTTATTTGGCATTGCAACAACAAAACAGACTGCTATACTATTCAGAGAACTTTCTTCCAATGTGAATTTCTGGCACCATCTATCCCGAGGCACATGAGATGCAATAGGGCTGGATTCTGCCAATACAGACACATTTTCCATCTTAGCCTAACCTGTCTTAAAAGTGCACCTGCTTTTTGATATCCTCATTTTAAACTCAAGACTCTTTGCTGAGGCGTGTTTTATCTGTTTAACAAGGGCTTGTTTAAGTATTGATGAAAATGACCAAGTATATTTTGGGAAGCATCTCTAAGATCAGAGAGTTAGATATCATTGTCAAATGGCATGTCTGACAGAACTAGCAACTGAATCAGGGTAAAGGAACTAGCAACAGCAATTCTGTACTGTCCAATGGAGTACGTAATAGTGTACAGTGCTGAGTTGTTCCTCTCACAGTTATTAGTTAATTCATTTAACATCAGTTTGTTTCTTCTCTTATTCTTAAAAAAAATTAAAAATGTCATCGACAAGACACAACTCTAAAAACAGCTGAAACTGGATCACAAAGTATTTTGTTTTGAGACACTGTCAAATGGCTGATCCAGACATAGCCTGAAATCCAGAAAGGCAGCCAAATCCTTCTACAAAAGAGCAAAACAAGACTGTATTGCATCATGCTGCAGTATTATTTAAGGGATTGTATTAAATCTTCAATAGCTGAGAGCAGGTCTCTGATGCTCCACCTAATTAGCAATAGTGGACAACGATGATGCAGTATGACTACAGGAACAATATCATCCGAGCATCTTTTGAAATCTCTGAATTGAAAGACCATGGCAAAAAATAGAAAGGGAAGGAAATAAAGCCAAATTTTATGGGGGGAATAGTTAAGCTTGGAGAATTCTGTGGTCATAACTCCTCTCTCGCTTCACTCTGCTTGTTCTCATTGGCAGGGTCAGGTGGAGCTCCTTACCTTCAGCAGTTTCATGAGGCCTTCTAATTGAACCATAAGCTCCCTCCGGCTTTCCTGGAGAGCAGACATTCTCTGTTCCAGCTCATCCTTCCGCTGTCTGAGAAACAAGCACAACTGATCAGAGTTTACCCCTCACAGCATCAGCAGCTTTTAGCTGTATTGTTTCCCCAGCCTGACTATGAGGTATACACCTATAGACCGTGGGAAAGCAAACACACCGTAGGAATTCAGCATCTGGCTTAGAAATGGTGCTACATGAAGCTCATACTGAGAATATTCATGGGATTGAATATAGCAATGAGAAAAAACCCAGACACTGACACAAACCCTTCTCCAAAGAACAAATGAGGTTCAAACAATTTTGTGTTATGTTCCCTTGTGGGAATTTTTGTCTCTGGATCTCTCTAGTCAATAACCTCACTAGCTGTCAGGAGAAATTAAAGCCATGCCCTGAAGGACAGGAAATTACAGCAGGGGCACTGCAGCCAGAAAACCATAGCAATCTGCTTTTGCTTCTATTTATTTTCTGAAAGCAAGAGTAAGACTATCACATAGTGAAGACAAACGTACTTGAAAATAGCTCTTTGGACTCAGAGTCCAGTGCTGTGACAGTATGAATACTGATCCACTCCAAGTGTGACAGCCAGTTTGTGCCCACATAAATGGGAGTAGCTTTGATTCTGCAGAGCTCCACTGCACAGGATGTGAGTTCAGCACTTGCACATGTTCAATCACTAAATTGTGCAAGATGTGCCCACATAAGCACAAAATAAAATTGTTGCCTCCTGGAAGCTATGATGTAATTAACAAAACTACTATTGAAATATATACTTATTAGGTATATTTTATAGGCTACTTTGTTGCAAATAACATTAAAATATTATGTTGTTAGCCTTGTACTACCTACAAATATGACAATTTAATCCTAAATTGAAAAGCACCAGAGCCAACAAGACTAGAGTACACTTCCTATATTGAGGGAAATAGGAAATCCTGATTTTGAGCCTTCTCTGTAAGTGAGCAGTTACTGATATGAACAACACTGATTTCTACAGGAAAGCTCATGTATGCTCTGACCCGTATAACAGGATCATATAGCAACACTGCCAGGTTGTATTTACTCTTCTGGAAGATTAATCTGCTTTCTGCTGCAAATTGCCTTGTCTGACTTTTCCAGGCACACAATGGTTGAAAATACTATGAATTGTACAAAGGCAACTGAGTTTAAGAAACTGCTAATAAAAATAAGATACCCCATCCGGGTAATTCAAAGTGGCAGATCCTAGCACAAACTACTGCTGGGTTTTGTATTCATTCTCTAGGGAGAGTGGATCTAAGCAGTGAGCAATGTACAGGCCACTCCTCTGACATCTTTCTCCTGCTGTACTCCAGAGCAAGTTCTTGGAATTAACAGGCTTTCCAACTGTCTCCAAGACACTAGTAGCAATGTGAAGGAACTCTATGTTCAGAATCTCATTTCATAGAATCATAGAATGGTTTGGGTTAGAAGGGACTTCAGACATCATCTAGTTCCAACCCCTCTGCCATGGCAGGGTCGTCCCCCACTAGGTCAGGTTGCTCAGTGCTCCATCCAGCCTGGCCCTGAACACTTCCAGGGATGGAGCATCCACAACTTCCCTGGCAAATCTGTTCCAGTGCATCACCACCCTCAGGGTAAAGAACTTCTTCCTTATATCCGGTCTAAACCCACGGTCTTCCAGCTTCCAGGATTTTCCCTTGGTGAAGCCATGTTGGTTGCCACCTACCACCTCTACATTTTCCATGTGCCATAGCAGAGCCTTCAGAAGGATCTGCTCTGGGATCTTGCCAGGCACAGAAGTGAGACTGACTGGCCTGTAGTTGCCTGGGTCTTCTTTTCTTCCCTTTTTGAAAAAGTGGGTGATGTTTCCCCTTTTCCAGTCAGTGGCCACTTTTCCAGACTGCCATGACCTCTCAAATATGATGGAAAGTGGCCTAGGAACTTCCTCTGCCAGTTCCCTCAGGACCTGTGGATGGATTTTATCAGGTCCCACGGACTTGTACAGCTTCACATTCTTTAAATGGTCTTGAACCTGACCTTCACTTACAGTGGGTGGATTTTCCTTCCCCCAGCCCCTGCCTTCGGCTTCTACAACTTGGACAAGTGCATCTAGAGCCCTTGCTGGTGAAGACTGAGGCAAAGAAGTCACTGAGAACCTCCGTATCCTTCATGACCTCAGCAAGTCTGCAACACTACAGCAGCTAGGGAAAGCTGCTGGGACAGGTACCCACAACATAATTTACAGATTGCTGCATTTCCTGATATGAACTAAATTGCCCTACTGCTCTTATTGTTTCAAGCCCCAAAATTCTGTGGGTTAACAAACAAAAATTAGTGCTGCTGTTTTGAGTCCTCCCATTTTACACAAAATAAGAGCAGCTTTGCAACACTTAAGTGTCTAGGAATTTGAGGTGGTGTCAAAATTCCACAGTAAATCAAATGCCAATCTTTTGCCTTTCAAATGGTGAACATTTTAGAAGGTAGGCAAAATGGTACAGACCCACAGAGCAAAAGTTATTTTCAGACTCTGACACTGCATATTAAATTAGAAAAGATATCACAATTGAGGAACTCGGCATCACTGTCCTAGGGACATCCCTTGTCAGGAAATTCAGTTAAGGATATTAAGCTTTTAATATGTGTAGCAAAATTGAAAAGAGGGAAAAATTAAGCAGTCAGTCCACTAAAAGTGCACAAGCACTTCATTTTTTTTTTAAGGATAATGAATTTTATTTGTCAACTACGAAAAGAGCTAATCTCCTAAACTTGCTTCAAATAGATTTAGACTTGATGTACAGTAGCTACATTATTGTTATATTTTATGCAGTGTACACATTTTCATCACAGTTAGTTTTATATGTCCCACAGAACATCGCTTGCCTGTAGAAGTAATTACATACTAAAATCATTCACAGAAATGAATAAGCTAATTTGTCTTCAGATTGTAAAGCAAATGCAATTATCTGTGAAACAGAAAAATACTTCAGTGTGGAAAACTCAATAATAAAACTATACAGTATATGTAAAGAAAAAAATCAGCACAGTTTCTTACAGTAATTTCCTTTGGTTATGAATCAGACCACTGAAATATTACTTGTGTGTGGAGTGACTAAGAGGCCAAAAATGCCCTTTAGTCTTCTCACGAGAGAACTGCTCTGTGGGAGGTGGGGAATAAGAATTAATTAGCATTGTTTCACTAGAAAGACAGTGTTTACACTCTATTATCTATTCACAGGAAGTGTTTTGAATAGTTCTTACTGGATTCTTTGATCATGAACTTCAGCACTTGCAGGGAGCCTACAGTTCTGGTCTGTTGATAACTCTATTTCTTCAATGTGATATACATGGCAATTAGTAAATCCATGTACAGTATCCCAATTAACATGCAGGCACATCCATATCAATGTTTTTAGCTTGGTGGGATAATTGGAGAAATGATCCTCTAAACCTTCAGCTACTGCAGGTGACATTACTCCTCACTTCCCGCATCATTCCACACCCTGGTTTTGCACCGTGAAGAGAACTGAGCTCTCCTTGGAGTTCAACATGTGGCGAAATGTCCAAAAACTAACATCTAATTCTGGCTGTATTTTCATGTAGCTCTATATTTGCTTTAGCTTAAACGAGAAGTCTTTGTAGAAGCATTTGTTCTGACAGAATGACATTTTCCTCCATGTAATTAATGGCATTTGGACAGGGCTGTGGGAACCTATTCCAAATGACCTAAGGGCCTAACTCTGCGAACACTAATGCACAGGCTTAATTTAATGTAGATGAGTAATATGCGAGATTCCTCACGTATGCTGTTTAAAGCATAAGCTTAATTACTTCTAGGACTAGAATCTGCACCGAAAATGAAGAAAAAATACACATTGTGTTATTTACTTTAAAAAGCCCCTAAATCATAAGGCAGGCTTATCTCTTACTTCCTCTCTCACTGAAAATGACTGGCTGACCCCCGTCACAGCCAGAGGTTTTACCTCTGTGGACCTACCTCAAGAGCCGTAGCTCTGCTAGGAGAGTGGGATTTTGTTGTGCCTTCTCTGGTGTGGGCTGAGACGCTTGCTCGTGTTCAAGTCGCAGCCTCTGGATCTCCTGTAGGATTTCTCTTGGGGAGGAGAATAAGTAGAAGACTACAAGTCAGTAATTTTCCACAAAACCAACTCACTGGACATTGCAAGAGGAGAAAAAGTATGCAATTTTTCATCAGCGTAGATGTGTTAACTGGGCTCCAATCAACAAAAGAAACCCTCAGCAATGGGAGAGGGCTCTGGATATTTTTTGAATAAACTTCTAGGATTTTACCATAAAGGGAAATATTTCTTCAAGATCCCACCAAAACACACATAGACAATGAAACAATTCTTTGCTTAATGAAATGGCTCCCTTCTAATTCTTCTCCAAGAACATTTCAAGCATCACAGGAACTTAACGAAAATTAAAATAACCTACCTGGCCCTTTTTTGGGTATCAGAGAATATATTTAGCACTTAAAAAAATACTTCTAGTGCAGGCAGAAATGCAAAAGCAGGCAAAAACTCATGGAGAAGCACTTTAATAAGACTTGTTATGACTGGCTTGCCAGCCCTAGAGTCCTGTCAAAAGGCTAATAGAAAGCTTCGCAGCAGAAGGTTGAAACCTTTGTGAATTTCTTCTCTTCTTCACAACGTGCTGGATAGCAGACGGTCAGGAGGTGGCCTTGAACTATAAAAGACAAATTGAGACTGGAGCTGGTGGCTCATTACCGAGTGACAGAAGGCAGTGCAGAGTTTGGAATAGGAAACCATCTGGTCTGGGCTGGCCTCTCTTTTACAGGCCAGCAGTAAAAGCAGAGCTCTCCTGCCACACGTTTCATGGCAACAGGCACTCTGATACCCAGGGCCAGATCCTCTGCTGCTAACAAACGGGCATCACTCCTTTTTGGGACGGGCTGGCACATTTGTCCTGGACATTCTCTCTCAGCCTGAGTCACATCTGTACCTAGTGTCTCATTTGATCAGCAGCCTAACTTGCTGCTAACCTTTCTGCATACCTTTCCCAGGCAGACTGTGTTCTGGAGAGCTTTAATCATCTTTTTCACAAATAAAAGCAGGGGAGCATAACATTACCAGTGTGACTGATCCTTTTATCATTTCATGTTACAGTGCTACAGAGGATCCAAGAAAGTTAATCTGCTTTTGAAACAGGATAGGCTTTTTTTTTTTTAACTCTTAACAAACAGCAGCTGCAAACAGTAAAATCTCAATGATTATATCACATCATTGAACAGTACACTCATTAGAACACAGGGTGGCTATGGTTTTAAAGTCTTTGTCATATTCTGTGGACCTTTAAGCTCCCTGTGTTTTTTGAGGGGGAGGTGTATGTGCATGCATAAGCACGTTGCACAGAAGTAGATTGTTGTGGGTAAAAAATGTTAAGAGACAAACAAAACGAACACACAATAATGAGACTGAACAAAACCAGGTACTTTGTGGATGCTGGATGCTTACCGGTTTTTATTTTCAAGCTCTGCAATCAGCTGCCTTTGTTGCTTGTTTGCATCAATGGTGAAGGAGATATCTGATGTCCCTCTCTGCTGACTCTGCTGCTGTTGGAAAAAGAGAAGGCTGCATTGAAGGAGGAATAACTAGCATGCACCCATGAGATCAACACAGATCTGTTCTGTGAAATTTGCCTACAGAAAACGCAGTACCAGGCTTGCCTACACTAAAAAAAGAGCATCCATGTTGTGCTCATACCAGTATGGCTTCATTGCTAGTAAAAGCAGGGTAAGTGCTAGAGTAAATAAGACTCAGTGCTTACCATCCTGTCATTCATTGCATTTTCAAGACGCTTCCTCAGAACCGATCCTAAAAGGCAACGTCACTGCTAGAGGCAGTTGCTGTAAAATGGCTCTTAATTTTGTTACTACAGACAAGAGGAACACACTGAAGCAAAACCCAGTGCCTCTCACCAAAAAACTGAGTTTCCAGTGCATTGGTGCTTTGTTCTCTCAGAAGCACAGTTTTACTTTGTTTGAAAGCTGTACTCAGTTTTCAGCCTGTCTGTGTGGCCTATTTGGCCAAGTTTTCCTAGACACTCTGATGATACTTCAGAAAACCTCTTTCCCCAGCTCTCTGGGTACAGCAGAACCTTCTTCCGCAACAAAATGAGTAGGGAATTAAACTATTTCTTAACAAACTAGGAAGTGCTCACTACAGCTTCCTTAGACTCTTTTTTCATGTTCATCAGCAATAACCAAATATTGTTTTCCTTGCTCACATGCTTGTATTTCAGTATTGTACCAGTAACAGCACAGAGTAAGACATTTAAAGTTTCACAGCTATCAAAGATATGCATTTATTTCTAACTCCAACTTGAGCAAATTAGACATTAAAAAATACTCTGCTGAGTTACTGCTGTGATCTGAGCACTTCTCACTGTAAAAGCCCTGTGAAGTGTGACTCTGGAGACTGATTTTCTGTGATGCCAAGCACCTCCTCCTCCAGGAGGTGGATCATCAGAAAGGATGAAGATGCACCTCAGCGCTAACCTTTGTTAGCAGTGTCTGTGAGGAAAAGACGGCATGTAATGTCTGTAACCATTTGGGCTTTTTTATGCTACAGGTACCTTTTCCCATTAATGCTCCAACTGTAGGGAAGCAGAGTAGCACATAAAGCACAACAACTGATACATGCTGGTGGATGTTCTGACTGATCCAGGGGGAATCAGGATCTTTATCCTGAATGCCCAGTGCTATTAGTATTTTTGTTCCTTAAAAAACAGAATGATCATCAGCAAAGCTTTAAAAATTTCCACTGTGCTCCTAACGTGGTGCCATTCTTGTGCTTGGAAAGACTTCTGTATGCTGAAACCTTTTCTTTTGTTTCTTTTTTTCTCTTTCGTTCAAAGAGCACTGATGGATGGTAACAAGATATTCAGTATTTTCCTTCAAGCCAGCTCTATTTAAAAGCTACTTAAATACTATTTCCTAAGTTTTCTCCAATATCACAGACACATGTTTTATACAACCAAATTCCACCAGTTTCTATCCAGAGACATTATTAATGGGAAATCATGTTCTTACAAAGAATTACTGTACTTCAGAAACAGGACCATCACCTACAGATTGCCTTAAGTTTGAAAAACCATGTCACACCTCTGGAAGGGATTGATTTGGGCTGTCAGGAGCACCTCTCTGTTCCCTGCAGCTGCAGGCAGTGAAATCTTCCCTGGCCAATGTCTGCCCAGGGAGGCAGATTCATCTTCACTTGGGATGAACGTGACTCAATGTTCTTTACACAAAGAGCAGTGTCTAATTTCACCCTTTCATTTGACCCTGTAGTGTAAATCTCAGTGTAAAAATATGCTTCCAAGAACTCTGGCCTGACTGCTTTTCACTTCACTATCATTTATGGTCCCTTGTTCTACCAAATGTGCTGAGATGGAAAAAAAGTAACTAGCCTGACCTTAGTTGTGCCATTTAAGATTTTATATACTTCAATTACGTTCCTGCTTCATTCTCTCTTATTCCTGAATACAGTTAGTGAGGTTTTAGCCTGTCATCACCTCCTATCTTGGGATACATAGAGCAGAATAATCATTGCTCTGAAATGAAAATGGGAGACAGGGCTAATGCAGGGGGTCATTACAGCCATTCTGTGAAGTTCATTCTTTAAAATCCTCAGCACTTAAGGCCCTAGTGGTCATGATATTTGAACTAAAGAGTAAAATAGATTCATCACCCCATTTTTCCACTGCAGTAAATCATTAACCTTTAACCAAAGCTAGTCCAGACGATATTTTCTAGTCTTTCCTGCGTTCAAGGCATCAGATTCCCCTTGCTCTAATTATTTAAATACCTTTGCACTAGTATATAGATGATATGCATTAGTATGTGGATTCTCCAGCTCAAATGGGCTGCATAAAAGTGTTATTACTAGAGCATAACAGCGTCTGATGAAAACGATAGGGAAAAATAATCCATTAATCATTAAGACTGTCAGATGTAATTTCCCTGATCTTGCCAAGCCCCTGGAACATGACAGAAGGAAAGTACCTTCCTTTAATTAAAACACTTACTGATGAAGAAGTTTCTGCTGCCAGCCTTGCTGCGTACCTGGCGATCAGCTTGTGCTCTTCATCCAGGCGACTTGTGCTGTCGAGCACGCTGCGCAGGGTTGGAGGGGAAGGAGGGAAGACATATCAACACACGGTAAAATGACCATTGCTCTGTCACACTGTCCACTCACGCACCCTCACAACAGAATTTAGAAGCAAATTATCACCAAATGAACAACAGCAGATGTTAACCGAGCAAAGAGGAGGTTAATTTCCCTGGAAGGATCAGCTCTAGGGGCCAGGCAGCATCTTCCCTTAGGGGGAAGTAGCAGCGCTCTGCAAGCCCCGGCCAGGGCTGTGCAAGATGCAGTTCACAGACTGCTCTGTCCAAAGTGGGGTGGGAGGTGGTGAGGACCACCAGTCAGCATTGGCTTTCTTCTCAGCTTTGTCCTTATCCCCTAGAAGAGTGATTACTTTTTGGACAGTGGATTAGTGGGAACCTCTGCGTGTGTTGAGAAAAACTCCAGAAGACAACAAACCCCACTATTTAGGATAGTTTTTCAGGGCACTTACCAAGGAAGGCCTCATGGACTAGAGTTTGGAACCACTGATCTAGGAGTTTATTATCAGGCTTTCTGTTTTATTCTTGGTTTCTTGATATTTGGGAGTAAGATTTCAGAGAATCATATGACAATGATCATAAAGTGTAAAAATTAAACAGCAAATATGCTCAACTCCTTTAAAATACTGTGTCTCATTACTTTTTTTTTTCCCCTAAGAATATCAAAGGCAAATATTTCTCTAAGGTTAATCCCTTGCTGGCTGTCCTCATTTTTACTGGAGGTTATTATTTAGTCAGAGGAGCAGAAAAACGTAATACAGTGAGAACCTTTACTATTTCTAAACATTTGGAAGTTTGCAGAGAACCATCAAAACTAATGAACTGACAAAAAATGAAAACTGAAGAGGACTTAGCCGACCCTGGGTAATTCTGGGATTTAGAAACCTGTACCACATTCCTTCTAGTACATACAAGAGGAAAATAAAAAAAGAAGATCCTAATGAGAGGTGAGAAGACCTCTTTGTTGTGTAGAATACAAGAGAGCTTGCAGACTATCTGAGACAGAGGTAACTCTGACTTATCTTCCTAACCCATGGGAACTGCCTGATGTTTCGGCTGAAGGGAGACAGGCACAGGCCTTCCTACCCATGGGCTTCTCAGGGCACACAACTGGTTGCTGGTGAATGAGCCGCTCTTCAAAAGAGTGCACAAAATACTCTTTGGGCACAGGCACCTTACTCTGATTTTTGCCAGAAATTACATCTCAAACTTGAAAAGCTCTCCAGATGAAAATGGCACTTCTGCAAATTGTTCTGCTTTTGAAGAATCAGCATCTTTAAAAGGTAAAGCAAATATTTCTCCAAAATTTCTCAGTGAGTTCATATCTCCAGGTAGCTCAGAGAAGTACCGCGCCCATCTTTCAGTTGGCTTGATTAAACCCACTGGGTTTTAGAAGTTATGTCTGAAAGATAAGTAGTGGTTGATATTCACTGATTATTAAACTAAAGCTGGGAGTCATGTGGATTTGTTATGGCTTGCTGAGGTAAGGGAAAAGAGACAAACATCTTATTTTTCTCATTCTGACAATAACCTGCGAGACCACAAACATGAAGTTTAGGAAGACAGTAAAGCTATGAAAAGCCAGACTCTGAGGAGTCTGTGTAAAGCAAGCTTGGGCTGCAGACTGCATATAAGACTTCAGGTGGTAGATGAACCCTGACTTTTTTTGTTTTGGTTATGTTTAATTTATTTTGTTACAAATATAGCTTATTTCTGTGCCTACTCAGATTCTTGTGGAATAACCAAATTACTTTCTGAAAAGACCCAAGCTAAAGGTATTTTAGTAAACACAGTTCTGCTTCTTACATACTCATGCTTACTGTCCTGATGTGTCATCCAGAGAAAGAAAGGGGCAGGCAACTCTTGCAGACACATAAAATTGTGCGAATCAGGTAATAAGAGTTACTTTTCATGTAATTCACTTTTAATTTTTTCATAATGACTAGAACATCCCATCCTAACAGATGGCTGTGAAAACAGCAAGCATTCAGCATCAATTCTCCTTTTACGGCAATGTGCAACTATATTATCCATCCTGAAAAAGAATGGATTATGGTTCCACTTGCTGTCATAACATAAACTGCAATACACTTCCGAGACGTGAGTTAACCCGGGAGACAATGACTTTATGGAATGAACCAAGCCACTGCAGCTTTTTGATTCCTGCTTGCTATTTAATGTCTTTGTTATATATTTATGAGTAGGTGGATGTCATAAAATAGATGTAGCAGCGTGTCAAATTTGGTCTATGAATGTCACAAATCACTGGTCCCAAAGCTTTGTAAAGTACTTTTCAATGATACAGTGAAATACACACAAGCTTTAAAATATTAGGAATGTGTGCAGAGAATCTGAAACTCTCAAGAGAATGATTCAGGCATCCTTTTTAAAGAAATTGAACGTTTTGCATAAAAGTATCCTGCTGCTGCTCCTTGTTTTCTAAAAAAGTTAAACACCACTTTTAACACTGCTTCTCCACTAGTGACCATTTCTTTAGTTGGTCTGGCAGAACTATCATCATTCAGATGTAGAGTGAATATCCAACGTTATCACCCACACTACAGGATTTATTTTTTTTTTAGGCTTTAGTTGCTCTGTTAATATTCTATGGTATAAGAGAGACTCATAAAAAAGAGATCTCAAAACTGCAGGCAAAGGATGAAAAACATGACAGTCTGTGAACAAAGTGGTGATACTGGAGAATCTTTGCTATTTCTCAGGCTTCAGATGTGTCAAATCAGTCTGTTCTGCAGAAGGCATCCTGCCATAGGTGATACAGATATTCCCCTGATGGTCTTAGAATTATGTCACCACTGGTTAGAAAAGACTCAGAAATGTCAGTCTCTTGTGAAAGTTTTGCAATGGAGATATCAGCATGGTCTTTGTGACATGCTCATACTCTACGAACTTTCACTTAATAAATAATTTACAATAGAAAATACTGACAAATTAAAGGCTAGGTTTCCAAGCCTCAGGGCTATAAGAATCACGTCCTCACAGCAACCCACCCAATGTATTTTGAGGATTGTTTATCTGTGATACTTTCAAAATTGTTCTGTTTTTAAGGCACTTTAAATCCAGACGAATCATCTGAGTGCTCTGCTAGTTAGTTTGCCATTTACTTTAGAATTACCAAGATTTTAGCATCAAAATGCTAATAGCACTCAGGTATGAGGGTATAATCATAAAAACTAAATCTGTTGAAGGGAGCCAAGTGCCTATAAATTTTCTCTGTAATCAGTGGGTCTCTGATTGTTCTTCCTCTTTCAGGGGAAGATTAGACCAACCTTCCTACCTTGTGTTAGTTGTTGTGCACACCCCCTTAATAAACATTTTAAAAATTACCACAGAATAGCATGGTACTTTTATAGTACAGAAATATCACTCACCACAGTACTACACATAAAAAAAATGAGAAAATAACATTCTACGGAACATAAATAACCTCCTACTTATAAGGCATTTTCTCTTACATTTCTTCTGCACTCAAAAAGAAAAAGACTGAAATATGTGGAAACAATATTCAAACCTAGTCTCTAACTTATGTGAACAAAAGGAAAATTATTTGCAGTTAAATAAGACACTAAAGATGAACCAAATTAAGTATCAAGTATTGGTTTTACATAATAAAACACACTTTATGATTAAAGCAACCAAATCATCTGGCTATAGGATACTTTTTCTACCCCTACAGTTACTATAAATATTGAATTAAATATTTTTCTTGTTCCTTAGTTTGCTCTGGAGTACTGGATTCTAAAAAATCCTCAAGTAGTTTATTAGCCTGTGAGGGATGGAAAGGAAAACTTGTACTACTAATTATGGTATCAAATAACTGCAGATGAAGAATAAAGACAAGGACTGAAAATTAAATAAATTAATAAAAAAAAGCCAACTAATTTAAACCAAAAAAAGGTATACTGAGCTGTATCAGACTGATCATTAGCTACTATAAATTAGCCTGATTCAATGTCAAAAAACCCCCAACTCTTGTTTTGTTTTGAAATGTTATTATATAGCTCTCAAGATAATTTTATGTATTATGCTCACAAAGGACTTGTGTAGGCTTTTCCTGCAGATGAAGGTCCAGCTACAATCATTCCTCTTTTCATCTTTGGCCACCTGTAGCACTTGGAAATACATGATGGGACATACGGGAACATACCCACAGTATTCTGCAGGCTGAGCTGGCTACCCTCAGCCTCCCCTAAATCAGAAGCTACCTGATTATGCCTAAGTGCACCCCAAATCTTGTTAAGCTGCAGGATGAAATAACCTGAACTCTGCACCTTCCTAACACAGCTGTGCAGGTTTAGAGCTACTTCGGGGCATGGGCAGGAGATCGCCTCTGCCTGAAGGTGAGGCCATTTGAGATGCAGCAGCTGAGCCTCCTGAAGAGGCTTCACCTCCCTCTCCTGGAAACCGGCTTCACACCGGAGCTTCAGGATGGCAGCGCTGTGTTTGTTCTTCTTCTCCTGAATGAAATAGAACCATTCCCCTTCTCTTCTTGCAGGTTCATTGCAACCAAGCAGAAAATGGCAATGCAGCATCATTTGATGCATGACATAGACTGCTGTCCCTTGTAGTTATCTTTCTGTCAAAATCTAATCGATATAGTATATAAATAACTGAGATTGTTTCTCATTGACGACGCTGTGACTGCAGTGATTTAATGTCAGTAATCAGATGTTATGTACTACACTTTGTATCGGTCATTTAAACAATTAAGGCCATTATCAGTCACTCTCCATTCATTCCACAAAAATATTAAATCTGAAGGGTGTTATGGCACATAACTTGCATCTGTGTATTTGGATACAAATGTACTATGACTTGGTGAGGATGGCTCAAAACCTTAAAGGAACATGTTGGAATATAGAAGATAAAATTTAGAGGATGAAGGTGGTAAGGACGAGGCTAGGCACTCACAAAGAGACCTAACTGGTGGTCCTCTCTGAACCTAAATGAATCACAGACATGGCATCCAAAATGCCATGCCTGGCAAACTTGCCTAGCACCAGAAATTGCTCTAAATCATGTCCACTCTTTGCCCGCCTCTTGAACAACTGTACTGAGAAACTCACTTGTGGTAAGCTGGGTCACAATTCCTTCTCCTTGTCAAACTAGATCAAATGGTAGCGGACTCCTATCCTCAATCAGGAATGGGCAACGACTCATCTACTCACTTGTTTCCAACAGGTTGTTTTCACAGCCTCAGAGTAAATATTACTCAGTAAGTTTGCTTTTTGGAAGTGCTTCTCCAGGAATTCAAAATGTTTTCGTTTCAAAGAAATGGTTTTCATTTTCCTCACTAAAAACTAGTTTGCCTCTTTTTTCCCCACCGGCACCTGCCTACAGAGTAGAGAAGCAGAACAAGAACAATGAAGGCAGACTGTTTTTTTTCCATTGGGCATGGCAAATTACTCCCATTTTCAACTGGAGCTACAAAGAGAAGTGAATTTTCTAAGAGTGCAGAGAACTGTTGCATTTTCCCTCCCAAATGAAGTTACTTTTTACATTCTACATATAAGAATAAATGGAGAGTTTCTCCTAACTTAGGAAATATTCTGCAGTAGTGATACAGGAAGCTGAAGGGTTTGTTATGAGCAAAAGAAAACTCACAAGAACAGTTTTGTTAGAAACACTGTACAGTTTTCTGTTCAGCACCACATTTTCCAGTGCCATCTACTACACTGCTCAGTACCTTAATGGTATAGAGCTGCAGAGTCTAGAGTTTTGTTGCACTTGGAGAGGTGAGCCAGTGTCTCCCCACCCTGGGGTGTCCTGCTGGGGTGTCCACAAGTGCTAGGGCAGCAGGTGGGTTTAGTAGACAAAGCTCCATATTCACTCCAGCAGAAACTAGGTTCAAGACACCCACTTAAAAACGTGTCATACTTGAGCTTGAGTGAGATGAGGGGGAATTTGTATACAAGATTCAAACAATGCAGAAATCAGGCGACTTAAAAACAATGCCTGGCATATGTAAAAACTGAAATGAATCCTTCCTTCACTAGGCCAATAAGCAAATTCTATTATTACTATTACTATTATTTAGATACTACTACCATTTTTTACTTTCAAGGTAAGGTGAAGTTACAAACTGTACATCACCTCAGAAATGATTACCTGGACAATATGGGCTTGTTAGTCACTGTTGTACGAAGATTTCTGGACCTCCACCAAGTCCTGCACTGACCAGAACATGGTAGCCTAAACCACCTTGTGCAGCCATTCGTAACTAGAGCAATTATTTGCAATACCTTGCTACTTAACATCATGAGAGAGAATAACAGCAATTGCCACAATCCACCAACTTTGGGAGGACATACCCCATGTTCATTCGCATTCCCTTTAGGTTAGTGCTCATAAAGAGCTGCTTCAGCTTGTAGCCAGGAGGAAACAGTGAGAGCATTTGGCCGACCAACGTCCCTTTCCTGTGTTCCCCAAAGGTGCCAAACCTGCACTAACCGTGCGGGGTTGCTCTGCAGCATGTTGACATACAACCCGATGAGTACATGTTCATCGGCCAGCCTGTCTGCAACATCGAGGCTGTACTGTAACCTGAAACGGGGTCAGGGGGAGAGACAGTGCAGTCCGGACACACAGAGGGAAATAAACAGAGAAAGCAGGAGCAAGTAAGATTGTGAAATGGGAATTTAGGAATGAATACTTAAGTGTCCTTAGAAAATAAAACAAAAACCAAAACCAAGTGCAGAAATTATTTTGTTATTATTGTAATTTACATATTAATGTAATGGCTTAGAATGGTAAAATTCCACTCAATTACAGAGCCAGCCTCAGAAATCAGTGAGATGCCAGCTAGGGCCAGGGGCTAGAGCTCCACAGTACCATTCATTTCAAAATACAGGAGAATGTGAGGTCAACTATTGGCTTCACCATACTATGTATTGCACATATACATCAACTATACATGTTACATGCGATTAACATATTGAAATCGCATGTTGGATTTGCTTGGAAGTGTCCGATCAAGACCTCACGCATCCAGGTGTGCATAAAAATATTTACACATGCCCTGCTTAGTTCACTGGGTTAATTGGTTATTACAGTTTCCTAAGGGAAGATGCTTATAGAATGCATTTAAAAGTGAGAGGAATAGAGGGAATGGTTTTGGTTTAGCTGTGTTAGTGCAAGCTATGAACATACTCTCCCTTTAACTTACCCTTTGCCTTTCAAGAAAGCTGGAGCAGCCCTAGCCAGCAGTTTGCTCTGCTCTACTTCAGTATTCTTGGAAGGAGAGCTAGTTAATAAGACAGGAAAACTATGAAGAGGGTAAACAATGACGTCTGAAATTAATTGCAGAACAGAGTTTGGAGAAACTCATTCAAGCACCCCAGACTGAACAAAAATAATAACAGCAGCTTTAAAGAAATTTTAGAAAACTTCAGGAAATGCAAAGGGAGGAGTCAGTTTTCACTCCTGTTCTCCTGACTAGAAAGCCTGCACTACACGAAAGACAAACCAAATGCACTTCTCTCACAAATGGAGAGTTGAAGGCTTATGTAGTTTCCAGGTGGAGTCCAAGATAAACATCATGTTAAAAGCAGCTTGCAAGCTGGGAAAGGTTCATCATAACAGCTAAATTGCTTTTCTCCACATTTGCCCTAAGATAGTCCCAATAATCTACGGAAATGTGCTAATTTAGATCGAGTGATGGGAAACTGGATGAGTTTAATTTTCAGTACTGTTCTTCTATTGAGTTTAAAAATCTACAGTTCATCAAACTCACCTTTTTCCCTAATTACAGTTTTTAACGGATTGAAGTAACTGCATTTTCCCAATGCTAAATATCCATGTTAATAAGATAACACTGGCTAAAACTGGAGAGATTGAAATGTTAGTTTTTCTTTCTTGCTGCAGCATTTTTTGCTAAAAAACCCCACCAACAAAGCAACCCAAAAATATATTATACTTTCTTCTTTCTAAAAAGTATTCACCTTTATTTTTTTGTTTGGCTGCTGATACTGTAAATTTTTGATCAAAAGATCAAGGAGGTGTGTGTGTATAGGCAGATGACATTGCACAAATGTGATGCATGATAAATCTGAGCAGATGTGGCTCTGATGCACAGAATAATATTAGGACTTTAATATTAGGACAAAGAAGGAATTCAGACAGATGAAGTGTGTGCCATTCCCCTCCTTTTGGGAGGTCAAGGTTGGCATCAGGATTCTGAAAAGGATGGTACCGAAGGGTGTCCTAAGAATCCCAGCCCTATTGATTTATAATAAATCTGGAAGATAGCTGAATGAAATGCTGTACTGCATAGCAAGAAAAAATGCTTGCTTCACATTTCTATGCCCATAAACATGCTACTTGTCTGTTGCGCTTCTGCTGAAGCAATATCCATGCAGATAAACATGCTCCAAGCCATTGAGAAGGATATGTCTTCCACCCGTGCCTTCTCACTTACAAAAGGAACATGCATTCAAGGGGCCCAAGCCAAAATTCTGGCTTTCAGCTCTTAAAGACAAATACGTTGTCACAATGTGAGACCAAAGACCCCAGGGAAGATTTTGTTGTTTTGTCTTCTAAGAGTGTGGTGTCATGCCCTCTCTACCAACCCTAAGTTCTCCTCTCCAGTGCTTAGGAAGCAACACAGGGGACAGGCGAGCAAATGATCCTCACAGAGCAATTGATACCATGCCTGTTTCCTTCCTAATTCATTAAGCAAACTTGTCTCTTCCAATCTCTTCTTAAGAGCTGTTTTCTAAGCTTTTCTGATGTTCGGGTGTCTCCTCTGGACTCTTTTCAGGCTGGTTTGCATATTTGTCCCTGTGCTGTTAACTACACTGGATGCAAACCTCTAGGCAGATGTTTCCTCTCCAGAGTTTTAATAGCTTTCCACATGGTGACCCAGCGTCAGATGTAATCTAATAATCGTATTGCTGACTTCAATTAGTTTGTGGTTCACTGCAACTGCTAGGTCCTCTGTTAAAATATTTCTGTCCTCCAATTATGCTCCAACTTTTATTTGATTATTTCCTTTTTTCCTACAGCACTTTTCCATTATAATTACTGACTTTTCTCTAACTGATTTCAGATCATTTGGACATCAATTAATACTATTGCAACTGAACTTGGATTTTTAAATTTAAAAAACTGCTCTTCTTGCCATAACTATTTCAACCTTTGCACCATCTACAAATTGCATATACTCACTACTGCTCCCATTAGGTCATTCCAAGAAATAGTGCATAGTGTTCGACTTAGGATAGCCTTAGGATAGCCTTCAAGAATGCCAGCTAGTATGTCCTCCTCCAAGAACAGCAGCAAACTTTTGAAAATGTAATTACTGATTTTCCATGTTGCTCTTACAATAATTTCCCCTAGTGCATGTTTCCTTTGGGTATATCTATGCCATCTGGGACTATGTCAAAAGTCCTTTTAAGATCAACCTGTATCATATCTGCTGCTTCATTTTACCCACTGGATCAGTTATCCTGCCAATGAAATAAATCAGTTTGGTTTGACATAACTGGTTCTTGACAAATCAACGCTGGTTATTTCTCCTTGGTTAATTATCTTCCAGGTGCTTACTAATTTTTCCCTAATTTCAGTAACTTTGGATATTAAGGTCAGACTGTCTCTTGTGCAATCCCTTCGAACTTTGTCCCTGTTTCTGCCTTCAACTTTCCTTTGTTTGGAAGAGCTGACATTTGTCCTTCTTGCTCTTCCATACCTTCCTAGATCCTCCACATATTCCCCAAAACAGAGCTAGTACCTGAGAGCTTGTTTTGGCCACAGTGAGTTTATTTGGGTCCTATTATCTGGAATATATATTTTAAAGAAATATTCCGGTTAAAATGGAACATTTTTTAAGACACTGAAGAATGCTTCCCCGTTCAAACTGAGAGAAAACCTCCAACTCTGATCAGATATCTACAAAGACTCAGACTTAACAACATTGGTGCAAATCTTATACCTTCTTCAGTGTCTACCTGGCTACTAAACAATCAGACATATAAACCTTTCCTTCAGTAGGCAGAATATTACTGGTGAAATAAGAAGGATTCTCATCTTGTTCTGAACACAACATATGAAGGCAATTTGCAGTTCAAGTCTACCCCACTGCTTAGAGAGAGAAACATGGACAAAAGCAGCAACCAGTATGCTTTGTTCCAAAGTTACCTGTTGTCCAGAAATTTGGTCTAATCTCTTGCTATGCCCAGGCAGAACATTCAACTGTTTTTACATTTATGTGGAGTTCAAAAAAGGCACCAGCTACTCTGATTCAGCATTAAATAAGACTCAATTTCTCCTTGGCTATGGGTATTTGAAACCATTGTGCACTCTTTCTATCTACCACAGAATTGCCAACTAATTTCAAATTCAGCAGAATGTGCTGCATCACTCCATTTATTTCAGTTTATTACTCCTTTAGAAGAACTAAATGTACTAGCTGCGAGGTGGGGGCTGAGAAAAATACAAGAAAGAGATCATTCTTTTTCATCTTACCCCACCTTAGCCCTACGATTCTATAGCTTAAAGAACACATCTATTAAGAAAGAGATTATATCTGTTACTATGGTAGCTATGTACTGTAAGGCAGCACTGATAGACTGCACCTAGGGAACAAAAGAATCCAAATAAGGAAGAAAATATTAATTCAGGGTATGGAGTTATTACTCTTGCCTGGTAAAAAGTTTCTATAATGCTCAATTTACCCATTTTGACATAATAAATCTAACTCACCGGGTTTGCAACAGCGTTACCTATTCTGCAGCAATATTTCCTTGTTCTGCTGCCCTCTAGGTAATTGGAGATCACATAAACAAATGTGAGATTAAAACCTGAATATTACCTACAGTAAAAAATTTACAGGATTTGTGGTCTTAATCACATATTAGCTGTCAATGCAGCAAATGAATGTGATTTGGTATTTAGGAGAAGATTTTTTTGTTTTTTTTCCAAGTGCTTTAAAGCTGCTCTTAAGCTGTACAGAGCACATTGGTGATACCAATTCGCATGCTGGATGAATCGATGGATGAATTCCATCTCCTCATGGAAGCTCTCTTATGGACATGGTGGCTCAAACTAAGCAAAATAAGCAGAGAAATTTTAAAGTATTTGGATTCTGAATAGCTTGAAGACACTAAGAAGCATCTCAGGGAAAGCCAGAATCTGGCTTCCTTTGAGCTCTGGAATAATTGCATACCCACCCAAAATTCGGTGCTTCAGATGCAATTAAACTGCAAAGAACATATAATGTTTAATCTCCTTTCAGTTGCTCCTCACAATTTGTCATTGTATTTATTAGTTATCAAAGATCTTTCTTCTAATAAGATTTTTCTTCTTCTCAGTTTATTTCCCTTTTTCATTAACAAATCCAGAAATGAAAATGATATTGTGCTGAACTTTGGAGACTATGTCCAGTAGCAGAATGACTTGGTGTGTGGAACTCAGCATTTCCTGCTACAAGGAGAAACTGGATGTGAATGGCAATGGTCTTATGTGAAAATAACTAGCTGAAATAAATTCCATGGGAATGCCACAAATGACAGTCTGTGCCAATTGTCCTTTGCATAAACACTGGAATTACATAAAAACTTTCTTTAAACCTATCTGAAACCTCTGGACTAGATTGCAGCACAAATTAAAGTAACCACAAGTTATCGGCAGTGAGAAGACAGCCAGCAGAGCTTTTAGCATTGATTACGTTCAGCTAGAAATTTTACCCTGAGTTTGTACAACTTTTATTATTATGTGAATCACAGAGCATTTAATATAAAACCAGCACAATTGCAAACAGAGCTGTCACAGTTTGTTTCTTTGATGTATGAGAGGATGAGCTTCCACTAATGAGGCCTGATTTTCTCAGGACAATAATAATAGTAAAACCTAAAAGAATGAATGAAGATACTGTTATTAGTCTCATACAGATTGAAGAACTTGGCATTTAGCATAAAGTGCCTCGGTCTCAGTACTTTCTTACTGAATTATAGCTAATGCTCATGGATTAATCAAAAAAAGGAAAGAAAAAGAAAGGTCATTACACTCCACAGTATAAAAAAAAAAAAGGGAAACTGTTCTTGTCCAACCATATATTTCTTTTATGTAGAATGAAATAGGCTCTCCTTTAGGTCACTGAGATGAGAGAGAGTGCTCGAAAAAGGGTGCAACAACCAGAGGCATCAGTTCAAATCCAATCCTCACTACATATATGGGAAGTCTTCATGAGCTCCAACAGGATTTAGATCTGCCTTTTCTGTGGCCATTTAGAAAAGCAAAGTGAAGAGGTCTGGGAAAAGTTATTGGCAAGCGGTGTGAAGTGCAGAACAGTAACTGCCAGCAGTGAGAGCTGTGCAAGAGGAAAAGAGGGCTGGCTGTGAGACCTGGAGTTGTTTCCAGGCTCTCGTGTGAGCCTCTTTGATTCCTCTGTCAAGAATGCATCAGGCAAGTCATGCACTGGTGATGAAACCATGCAGGTGGGGTTTTTTGCTTTTCGAAACCCATTTTTCCAATTTCCTCTAGATATAGCAACGTTAATCCTATGTGAAAGGGTAAAATAAAAGAAAAGATCTGTGCTGTGCATAAGCAAGAGAAGTTGGCAAAGCCCACAGCCAGCAGGAAGTCTATTCAAAGGACTAATTAGAGCCACAGAAACCCTCTAGCCCACCAGAGACTTCTTTAAAGAATATTTTTAGTAGTTTAGCAGAATTGCTAATGATTTAGTGCATGAGCTACAGAACTATGGCGATTAGTAGGTTAGTGCTCTCATACTGACCGTGAATTGTTGTGAAGCTGATTTACATACAGCTTTATAAGAGAATGCTCATCAGCCACAGGACTGGCTGCATTTATACCCCCAAGTAACCTGAATGATTCAAACAATGAAACCTTGTTAATACCCCAAAAGAGTATACAGAGACCAGCCTGGTCACAATGTGTTCATGACAATAATTGCAATTTGTACTATTTAGAAAAGATACTGACTTGACAGTTGGTAGGGTATTTTTGGTTTGTTTTTTTAATAAAAAAGTGCAAATTAAATTTCTAAGACTTGAAAACAAAAATAATGAGAATAAGCTGTCAAACACTTAAAAATCATGCCAGATCACTGAAATAAAAATTATAATAACTTTCAATATACAAGCAATTAAATTGCATTACATATCAGGGCACTGCTAATTCTAAAAAAGCCAGAACTGACTGCTGCATCATGGAAACATTTTGCTGTGTAAGGACTCATACTATCCACTTACAAGGAAGTCTAGGTACCTAGGGTTGGGGGTGCTTATCACCTCCTGCCTTCAGGGGATTCTCTATAAAGGAGTTCTTCCTCTAGGAGAAAAGCAATTTTAATGGCTCAGGGATCATATACATTTAATCCTGATAGTAAAAGACAGTTGAATTACTAAAGAATACAAAAGTAAAATAATCAGGATCTTCTCATATATAAAGAAAACCAAGTAGCACAGTAGTTTGTCCTGTGATTATTACTGCAGGCCCCTTGCCTAAATGGCAAAGCGTACTTTTGTTGAATGAGCACAGGGGCTTCTTGGGGATAAAGAGAAGCAACACCTACACTCTTAAAGATCATTGCTCCTCACGACCTCTTCTGCAGGGGCCACAAACATTCCATCCTACCTTGCCCCGGAACACACAATTCCATATACTCCAACAACAGAAATGAGTATGCATTTGCCGTCTCACTGTCTGTACAGCAGCAGATCTGGTCTCGGGGGTTGCTTTGGGACTGGCTTTCAAGAAGGATCTCAAGTCACACCCAGCAGCTACTTGCACTGAGATAACACTGAGTTTACTGGTTTATAGCTCCTAGTCATGAAGTTCATATATCAGAGTACTCTGTCACTGCAGTGTGGTACGCTGTGGGTTTGGTTTTGGTGCAAAAAAAATGCAGCCATGCATACTCAGAGATTGTGTTTGGTTATTATTCAGGAACACTGAAGCACTGACATGTACAGCATGAACCAAGCAATAAAATGCACCCAAGGAAGACACATCACTCATCTTCCCCAATACAGCAGGAAGTTATTTTTCTGCCACCCGCTCATCTATGTGCATTGGTAGGCTCACATAGATGAGGTGACAAAGCAATTGCTACACACGTATTTTGGCAGCATATACTGAGCCAAAATGTACACTCAGCTGCAAGCACCTCCTCTTTGGGATTATTGTTTCTGCCTGCTCTTCTGGTTTGTCTGCTGAAGGGTCACTACATGCGCATACTGCTCCTTCTTGTAGCCTTTAATGAAAATCTGAGGGGTTTAACAGGAGTAAGGAAGTCTTGCTATACACCTTGCCAGTCATGAAGCCATTTTTGCTTTTTTCTTATAGTATCCTGCAGTAGGACGCAGGCATTCCCAGGAGGCAATGGCATGTCCCACTTTCTGTTCCCACTGTGCTTCTGGAAAATGGCTTCTCACCAACTGCTCATTTTCATCCCTGACAGGAGGGTGCCCAGGCTGCACGTGAGCACATTTAGCAGGATGTAATGGTTCCAGTGGGAACTGAAGTTCTGTGCTCTCCTGTGAGGAGCTTGGGGTGCCCTGACTCCAGCTCTTGGTCCCGATATCTCAGTATCAGCCCAGAATAACCAAGGCATGTCTCTGCTCATGTCTGTTTATTTTGGGACTGTTTTTTTCTGGGAAGAGTTGAAAATTGAAACCTCCACCACTCTCATATAATGATTTAACATAAATACTCACCTTCTGTTTGCAAAAGGGCTTCCTGAGGGAACAGAGTGGGAGAAGAGTGTGTCGTTCATGCTGGTTACAGGTCGAGGGGGCCTAGAAGGAGGCAAAATATCCAGTTGCATTAATTTTGCACAGAACAAAACTCATTAGCAACAGCATTTATAGTGAATTAAATCTGCTTCTTGCTAAAGTAACACTACTACTAACATCTTCTGCTTTAAGTAGCAATAGTTCCAAATTAAAGACACCATGTTTTTAACCAGAAGTTGACAAAAACACACTGTTACTTAGGCCTGGAAAGAAAGAATGCTTTTGTGTGTGCTGAGGTGAACTTTAAGCAACTTGTTTGATTTTTTCTTCCTGCTTTGGCAAAATAACTGCTATGCCACTTTTTCTTTCCAGAGCCTGTAGTCCACAGCGCAGTCACTGCTTTCAACCAGTTAGGCTGAGCACTGGCAGGAGGTTTGCTGGGGCAGCACGGAGCTCTGCAGGGCTAACTGTCAATAAATTGCACATCTTTCCAAGAGGCTATCCCTGGCGCTAAGCTCTGTGCCACCATACCATATCTGCATAGTGACCACAGTGCACTTACAGATCTCAGAGTCCCATAAAATACATGTAGTACTATACTGGTTTACCTGTAAAGCTTTTCAACTGGTATAGCAAACCCCTAAATCAAAATATAAAATAAGTATCTAGTTTAAGAGGATCCATTAATAACGATGGTTTTATTATTACATTCTTTATTTACTGCTCTTACTAAAAATGAAATGAGAAGGAATATTTCCTCTGCTTTCTTTTATTGTCTACTCTCAAAAATACTGTGTACATAATTTTTTCTTCTGTACCCATTAACAAGAAATTTCCTCTTCTTAATGGACTTCTTATGCAAACACCGGGCAAAAGACATATATACCCCGGAAAAACTAAAAAAGATGTTATTAAAATCACAGGGTTTTCCATCAGGTATGAGCAAAACCTGAAGCCATATATAATTAAGACTTCAAATTGCCTAGACTTCATGTTAGTTAATATCCCTTTTAAGACTCATGAAAGATCTGTCTTGCTTTATGAATTCTGCAGATATGTAAATCAAAATATGGTAGCCATCTGCAAAATATTCACTGGGCTCCAACTGTGCAAGACAATGGGTCATCCAAACCATTTTTAAGAAATAAAGAAAGCCAGTTTCTCACAGAAGTGAACTATTTTTATGTTTTCTGTCTTATTTTTGACTGTTAGAAAACAAGCACAAACGTGGTCTTTCCAAGTCCAGATGTTTCTCTCAATGTGACAATATCACACCAATTTTAACAAGTTTATAACCGGGAACAGAAAGAGGTAGGATTTGGCATGTTATTTACTTATATGAAAATTACAGTTTTAGCCTAAGCTTGCCTCTATAGACCAACATGAACTGGTCAGTCACTAATTTGAGAAGCAGCACTTTGTGCTCTATTTATTTATGGGGAAGCATTTAATATTATTTTTCATGGACTCCTTCATCAGTGCTAGGAAGAGCTTGGATGAAGCCATGAACAGAGCCAATCCATTGGAAAGGTTATTGTGGTATGAGTCTTGAAATACAGACAGAACACTTAGCAACTAATTTTATTTAATGGGTAAGCAACTGGTATTTTGTTGCCTGGGCACTGTAAACTGGCAATTGATGTTGGAGAAATAGTTCACATGACTACTTTGTTTTTCCTTTTCTCAATGCAATCACTGGCCAGTGAACACATTCAAAAAACACTTGGGCACAGGCTGGGGTTTCTGAGAGGTGAGTTCAATCCTAAACAGCAGAGAAGGGAGGAGAGGCTGGTTCTCAGCACTGTGCCAGCGGAGGAGGCAGGAGGAGTGCTCCCTCAGCTTAGCTTGGGCTTGGCTTTTCCATACACCCCGTCGGCCTCTGCTAACTGAGTAGGAAGTGAGTATGTGGCACCCATGGACTTCACCATGCGCACACTTCAGGTTAATGTCTTCTCTAAGTTTAACTCAAAATAGGGGTGGAGGAGAAAATTTCTAACTCCCAAAAGAGCTCTTCCCTTTCACTGTCTCTGTATTCAAAGACAATTATTTATTTGGCTCTAGACTCTGATAAAGAGTTAAGGATTGGTAATGAGATTACTGCATTCTTTCCAAGCTCCAGTAAGTGTACTAAAGAAGAAAAATACTCACCAAGTATCTCTTTTGCAGCAAAAACGAAATGGAAAAGAGATCATTAATTAAATTGTCAGTTTAATATGCATTCGGTCTAAGTAGTTCACTGGACAAACTCCATTCTTATGGCCCTGACTCTGCAAAAAGCATAAGAGCCTTTATGCATAAAAAAAGGCCACCGATCTGTTTACGTATGCAATTACTCCTGTGGACAAATGTCTATAAACTCCAAGGCTTTGCTAAGGTTTTCTGATTAGTATTAGTTTATCAATACCAATATGAAGAAAATTATATTAAACTAATCTGAGCTTTCCCAAGGCAGGTTTCTTTAAGGCTGATACCCACTGTCACATTTCTCAGGTTCAGCTTGAGTATCAAATGGACATACATACACAGTTGCGTGACATGGTAAGACAAGAACAGCAGAAGTAAGGCAAAGGAAAACTCAGCTATTGACTATAAATGTGTATCTTTCTGAGGTTATTTCCAAACTTCTGAAAATGAATGATTAAGCTTCTGATAAAAGTGAGCTGATGATAATCAGCTTTCCTTAAGGAGGCAGAAAATGACACTATTGAAGTATACTATGTAGTATGTAACACATGCATGTTATGGCATAACACGTGCCCTCAGTAATAAACTTAAATAAGAAGAATTTTCCTAAGTGCTTCATGCTGGTCTAACCTCTTCACACTGATGCCAGAAATAATGCTCCCACAGACTTAGATGGAAACGAAGTCAGGCCAGTGCAGGATGCATTTGAAAAATACCTCTATGATGCACTGGTCACACCGTTTGTCATCTCTGCAGCCTGGTGTTTCTTTTTTGTTGCCAATATTCCATATAGAAAGGAAAAATGACCCTTTCATTGGTGCGTGCAGTTCCTCCAACAGGTCAATAACACCTCGATAACTACTTCTCTAGATAAAAAGTAGTTCTCTAGATGTTTCTTGCTCAACTGAAAATTTTGTGTGGCACCAGTAACACAAAAAACCCTCCATGCAGTCTTTTTGTCTGGTACCACTCGAAGATAGAAGAACAATGAAAAGGAAAGGCTGTATAGTAATGGAGAGAGTACTTGTCCCTATTTAAGCTAGAAGCTAAGAAAAGGATACTGTTTTGTTGCCAAAATTCTTCCATTTAATGCTCATATAAACTCCCTTTGTGCCTGGATTCCTGCCCAGAGCTGTTTTTCTCAACTTCCATTATGCTTAAAAATAAAAATCACACCAGTGAGAAGATATTCTCAATAAGGTACTGCAGCATATCTCTCCCCTCAGTTAATTTATGTGAATTGTGCTATAGATCATGCAACCTCCACAACTTAAGGGTTTTCACTCATGTATCATTATAGCCAATATACACTGCCTTCAATCTATGAATAAAGAGGAACTCTGCCATAAAACAAAATAGATGGTGGCTCGTTCTCACATCCAATCAATCTAAATTATGTCTATGTAGTTAGGAAGAAGGGAAGGTGTTACTTTCACAGCACAGATTTGGAACAGATCCTACTCAATTATGATACCTTCCCTTTGCCTTGCCTAAATGCATTTAATCCATTCATAGTAGCCCAGATTTCACTATCCTTTATCTTCTGACATACCCCCAGGCCTTCGAGGGCCTCCAGCCAACGGGGAACAGAGCCTTCTCTTTCAGTTTCATGCTCCCTGTCTCTTGCCATTTCTCTTAAAGATGGTCAAAACTGCCCTGTGAAATTATCACCAACCTGCCAGCAGAGCCAGGCTTTTACACCATGCACAGCAGTGGGATCGCTCAGCAGATCCAGCTCAGGATGATTTCTTCCAAAGAACAAAATCCTCTCATCACACCTTCATAAAGAGGTGCAGAAGCTCTAACAGACAGTTCAGAGTAACAGGGATTTGGCACTACGCATCTGTCAGAGACGCCTTGTGTCTGAAGAGCACAGTGCTCTTTTATGCCTTGGAAAAATTCTGCTATAACCACACAAGAAGGACCATCAGCATGTTTTACCCTTAAAATGCCAGGTCGATTAGGTGAACATTCCAGATATCGCACAGCCTACAATGGTCAGTGTGCACTTGCCCTTAAAGATGCTACACAAAAACATTTGGTACTGGACAAAGGTATGCATCATAATTACAGACTGGAACAGTTCCAGCAGCCAGGAATAGAGATATGCAGCATGTAAATACAATTTCAATGGCTGCCCAAAATGCTTCAGCGAGGGCCTCTGGGAAGATCATTAAAGATATTTTCTGAAGAAATATATCAGAATAAGAGAAATACTTTAAAGACAGTATTTTTTTGCATATTTTTTTTCCAAATTAATGTCTTTGTAACTTTCTTCCAACCAATGTCTTAATATTTCCTGAATTCTGTGGAAAATGTCTTTTTTTCATTATTTTTTAAGGACACAGAAAGTAAATCTAACCGATGAGAAAACGTGAGCAACTGCCACTATGGATGATTGGCATATTTTAGGAAAAATAAAACCGAAGTGATTAATTTCCCCACCCTGCAAAAACACATTTTATCTCTGCTTTGAGTTTCTTGACTCCCGTAGAGAAGGAGTATTGACACAAACTACTGTACTAAAAATATAATTTTGCTCTCCCAAAATATCAAAGTGTGAAGATAATAGACTCTTTTTAACTGACTTGGCAGTTAAAGACACACTTCTTAGGCAGACTCATATAACTGTTCAGGGCTGGGTGAAGCCACAGCTCCACTGAAGTCAATGAGAACTTTGACACTTTGTCAAGGGTTAGGGTTGGGCCGGCCACTAAATACTGACAGATGCTCTCTAACCCCTCTCAAACTAGGACACATTTATTTCAAAAAAACTTGGTCAGACTTCACTTTTCTCTGGTGCCTTCCGTCAAGAAGTACCTGTGATACACTGAAGTTTAGAGTCTCTAGATGACAAAACTAATGCTCTCAGCATGAACACATCCCAAAGTGCTGAAACTCTATGAAATTGCATGTATTTCTCTCGAGGAAAACGACGACATAACAACATTTCCCAGTAGCTGGTTAGATGCACATATCCCACTGACTTTTCAAGAGAAGTCACATCAGGAGAACGTTTTTATACTAAATACCCCTATCAGCAAATTTGCACTTGTGATGCATTGCGCTTGATAAGCCACAGCTGCCTCCTGTTTTGTTCAGAGCTGTAGCATGTACACTTGGTGTAAGCAACGCCTACAACAAAGCTTACTTTCTCTATAGCACACAGATACTTACACAATATGAGCCAGGTTTAGAGGTTTTTCAGGCTGGTCAGGGAACATTGGGTGCAAAGGTTCACGGCTGGAAGCACAGCTTAAAGACTTGCTAAGTGCATTAGTTAGCTTCTTAGCAGGTGATTTCTGGGAGGAACAAGGAAGGTAGAGGTAATCTGGACAAGTAAGGTGCATACTGTTTTTGCTATAGGAAGCACAAAACAACAAGGAAGCTCTACGGCTTACATACCTACCGACTGACACCCTCCTTGCCCCCCTCCCATCCCGAGAGCTGGGTAAGGCAAAGATTGCTCATTTTGCAGGAAAGATTACTCCAGGGCCTTTCAGAGTAGGCTCGGGGGTGTATCTGTATAGACAGACACAGCTGCCACGGCTTCTTGGAGATGCTGCACTTGGCTAGTATTGACTGAAAGACAGCACCAAGTTAGTGTCACCTGCACTCGAGCTGGCTCCTACCTCACCTTCTTGGGAGTGCAAGCAGAGCCTGTCTATACAGATATACTGTAAGGAACACTGTTTCCTGCCCAGCTGTGGGCCAGGCACAAGGCTGCTATATTCTTTCTCCTTGCTAGGATTTCCCTCCTCAGCTTCAGCCCTCCATGCTGTTTAGCTGCTGTTATAAAGCTCCTCTTTCGCCTCCTGTGGCCACTGTAGCCCCTGCAACAACGGGCAATAGGAAATTTGAGACCCAGGTGAGGCTGATGTATTCTCATTGTCACCAAAAGTTGGGGAGGCTCTGCACAAGAAGCATGCTCTTCACCCTAAAATCCCATCAGTGAGTCAAAAAAAGAAGTGAAAATCAGTGTTTTCTGCTTTCTGGTTTTGTTTAGACACTCTTTGCAGTTGAACACTTTTCTACGAGAGAAGTCAGAAATCTAGGGTATCTTCTAGGCTGTACGAGAGTTTCTCAGTGAATTCAATCCACCTCTTTGTGATTCAGCTTCTCTGCAAGTAAATCTGGGGTAGTGATCCATACACTGTCTTGTCACCCCCAAAACACAGCTCTAGATGCTGAATTTTAAAAATATTTTTGGAACTTCATAGGAGTGGTATTGTATTTGTGCACATACATCCTGCATCAGCTTACACCTTGTAATCAAGATAATAATGAAATACTTCTGTTACAGAAATCCAACCTAAATAGGTAAAGTTCAGGCTTTTGCTATTTCATTATAAATGTGATTTCTCCCTGAATTGAGAACAATTGAGTTCCACCGCACCCATGAACGCTTTTAATCTGTATGTGGAGCTCAGTACAGATGCATTCTGGAGAATACTAACCAGGTTTGAACAAATGCTAATAGACGCTACAGACTTCAAATTCGAAGTAAAACATTTGTTTCTGGCAAGGAAACATTTGAAACCACTAGGCATGTAGTCATATTTTGTCTTCTGCTGAGCAGAAATCTTGAGTTTTCCAATTACCTCCTATCTATAATTACAGCTCCTTGGCTACAGCAAAGAAAAAAAAAATAGCACAAATTGCTGTTAGGAATGGAGTCAGAGCTATGCAGTGGGCACTTTCCTATTCAGAGACTAAACTCAAGCCATTGGTGTCTATGCAACAAGCAGTAATTAGGACCCACAAAAACAATTACAGACCAAATCTGCTGGGATGCAGCACAGGGGTGTGTGACTGGCATACAGAGCACACTATGTCAAATTTAACCCTTGCCTGCTCCATCAACAGAAAACCAGACATTTTAACAGTGTTAAGCTTCAGAACTTTGTTAAAAAATAGACACAAAGTGCTATACAAACATGAGTTGTTGCTATATGTATAATTTTCTTTCTCTGGTAACAATATACTTTTGTAATATTTGAGGTTAGTTAGGATTTTTCTGCTGGTCTTTGGATCCCTAAAGTATTGGGATGCTCCATGACCGAGGGCTTCTGCTGGGACTTTGCTCGAGTCTGTGGAGAGCTTAGCCCTCACGTCCGATGCCCTTCAGAGAAGGTTAATAATGTAGCTATTGATACTTCTCTTTTGGCTTAGAAAGAGCATTGAATTATTTAGTTTAACAACCAAAAGA